ACCACATATAGTCGTTTGCGTGCAAGAAATATCAAGGTAGGTATGTCCGTCTCGGAGTTCACGACGCGACACAAGAGAAAGCGTAACGCGAATGCTGGTTTCCCAGCTTATAAGTAGAGGCCTCAAGCATCTTCCATTATTGCACCTCCTTTAACCTCTCTATCTCTCTCGAAATCTTGGTCCTTCGTGATTCGATTTCTCGTCCTGAAATATTGTTAGTGAAGCGATGAAAGTTTTGAAAGGATCCTTAAGAGAATGATAAAGCGTCGAAGTTACGCTCATCGTTTTCTGAGTTATTTGTCAATCGGGTAAGTTACATTTTCGCTTAAGTATAACTTGATATAGAGTATACTCATTTGTCGTTATTATGAACTCGTGTATTAGATTAATCATTAATCTCAGCTATGAACTGATTCGTCTACTTATGGGAGCGGTGTCTGTGATAGACACGTTGGTCTGGTTGTTGGATTTCAGAAAGACTATACGCCGAAATAATCATGCCTCCTGACTATCTTGACTGGCTAATTCTTATTTGATAGTTTGATAGCCATTTCAATATTAATGAGATTAGTGAAGGACATGGATACTAGTTACTATATTTCCTTATATATTCATCAGTTATATTATTATATGTTAATATATGTTTGGTGTGTTTGCTCGCCAGTTGGATCGTTGATAATTGTTTGAGTAATTGTTCTAGTGAATTTTCTTCCTGTATTACTTATGAAACATGTGTTTTAACATGACTGTATGCTTAGCTATACTCGTAGGCTATTGTTTGTTTGCTTGCATGTTATGTTGGTTGAAATCACTACTAGAATAAAGGCTTTTAGTGACACGTGAACTATGATATGCACTAGATTTATGACATGCAAAAGTAGGTGTCATAAACAATGTCATATTTTATAAAATTTAAAGGATTTAAGACATGCATCCGCGTGTCCTAAAATTGGTCGTCGTTTTATATTTTTTAGGTAACTCGCGTCCTTCCTTCTTAGTGGCTAAGGAGGAAGCAAAATCCCAAAAATTAAAAACCTCGTCGTCCTCTACCTTCGTTTCCACAACCTCTCGACCCTCACCGCCTCTTCTGACCTCTCTTCCTTTCTCAACGATGATTTAAGAAAAAAATACCGATGAAAATTGTAGTTGTTACAAGAGAGAAAAAAATTGAAGAAGTGTCATATTCAATCATAGCATGGCTACCAAAAACTCAGAATAAGGGACACAAACAATAGTCACATCCAATAGTTTTTATCGTTGATCTTGACGAGAATCAGAGGAGTTTTTGGTCTTATTTGTGTGTCAGGTTTGTTTCGTAGAGACCATACATGTAAAAAAAAAGATTTCATAAAGACTATTTAAAGACAAATGGAAAAACTTAAGGACTATCTGTGAATTTTTTTTATTAAATAAACAATATTTAGGAAATAGTCCAACGAACACCCTTATGTAGTAAAAGAATTTGGCCAAGGACTACTTGTGCAATTCCCTCAAAGACTAGAGAAGCTAGGGTTTCCTACCAACCATAAAAACGACTGCGCCTTTTAGTACTACTCCTGCTAGTCCAGTCCAATCATTTCCCGATCACAATGTCTGTTCTTCAGCATAATCACCTAGCAGCTTCACTCTCATCGTCAACCTCCTCCTTTTTCGCTCAAAATGGCCTCGATGTTCTAAGGTATCCATCTATTTCCCTGTTTGGTAACAGAATTTAATCCCGAGTCCTTGGACTACTCAATTTTTGTTCTAATTATCTATATATTTTTTCACTGCAGAACTCAGATTGTAAGTGTACCTCTCAAAAAGGCGGGGGTTTGTAAATGTGTAGCTACTTCCCCGGCAGAACAGACTGGTAATTACACATTTTGTTAGTAATTTGTCGTTTTCAATTGTCAACACAATTTGAAGATACTTTTATCTATTCGATGCTTCTGCATAATTGGAAAAATTCCTTACTGATTAAGTGATTTGAGGTGTATCAATTTTATATTGAACTTTTACCCATGTTTTGGAGGGAACTTATACATCTATACTTCTGATAACATTTCCATACATCCATCTGAAATCCAAACTTTTAATTCTCTTTGTTGCTCTTCTGCAGCTTACAAAACGAAAGTCTCCCGAAATGGGAACATTGCTAAACTTCAAGCTGGTTACCTCTTTCCAGAGGTCTGTAACATCACGTCACATGTTACTTAGAGTTTCAAATGTGGATGTTAAACTTTGTTTTCTTAATTGGTTGTTACATTGCATTTGGAGATGAGATTCAAAGATTTTTCATGTTCTCAATTACAGATTGGTAGAAGGAAAGCTGCTCACATGTTGAAATACCCTGATGCACAAGTGATAAGCCTTGGTATTGGTGATACTACTGAGCCCATTCCAGATGTTATTACTTCAGCCATGGCTAAGGTATGATCACACTTAACTGTAATTAACAATAAGTGCATATTAAATTTTTTTCTTAAATCAAAGTCCCCTCCTTTCTCAATGATATATCTTTTGTCCCATGTATAGTCCCTCTTCTATAAGATGTGACTAGAAAAGGGTAGTTTTGTAATTAAGTATATACACCCATAAACACAAATATTTTCATTTTCTGGTTGACAGAGAGCTCTTGGTTTATCAACTGTTGAGGGTTACAGTGGATATGGAGCTGAACAAGGTGAAAAGGTACGTATAATTCTTAGTATTTTTTTTATTATAGTTATGATTCTAAAGCAATAAACTATACATAGCTTGAATTGATGTAAAAACTCCACTCATACACCTTTGACAAATTAACCTTAGTACATTACAACAATAGTTAATTAACATTTATGCCATTTATATGATCAGGAACTAAGAGCTCGACTTGCTTCAGCTTTTTATGCTAACCTTGGCATAGAGGAAGATGACATATTTGTATCTGATGGGGCTAAATCCGACATTTCTCGCCTTCAGGTTTGTGCTTGCTTTACAGCATTAGTTCTATCTTCTTTAAACATTTTGTCCTTTTCTTCTTTATTAGTTCATTACCAGAAAAGATGATATCATATCATTATTTACAGTTGACCCTCTACTTTTATTTTCATGGCAGGTCTTATTTGGGTCAAATGTGACAATGGCAGTTCAAGATCCATCATACCCGGTAACCAATTCAATATTATGCAAATGGTCCCTGCACTTTATATTTTTTATCATGTTTAGTCCAAAAATTGAAGCCTTTCTCAGTTTTGGTCCTTAATTCAAGGTTTCTTATCGATTTTGGTCCTTATTTCAAGTCTTCATATCAAGGTTCCAGAGACCAATTTCAATACAAAACCTTGAAATAAGGACCAAAACTGAAAAAAGATTGGAACTTTGGACTAAACATGGTAAAAACAAAAAATAAAAGACAATCTTTTGTAATTTACTCTGAAGATGAAGAGTTAATTTGTGATATTCATTTCCCTTTTGCAGGCTTATGTAGATTCAAGTGTGATTATGGGTCAAACAGGAGAATTCCAGAAAGATGTTGAGAAATTTGCAAATATTGAGTACATGAAATGCACACCAGAAAATGATTTCTTTCCTGATTTATCCAAAGTTTCACGAACAGACATTATATTTTTCTGTTCACCCAACAACCCAACTGGCTCAGCTGCATCAAGGGAACAACTTATTCAATTAGTAAAGTTTGCTAAAGACAATGGATCCATCATTGTTTATGACTCAGCATATGCCATGTATGTATCAGGCGACACCCCTAAATCCATCTTTGAAATCCCTGGAGCCAAAGAGGTAATCAAAATCAAAACTTTTTGAGTAATTTACATTTTTCGTCCCTAATTACAGCTCATTATTTTCAATTTTGGTCCCCAAAATATAATCTTGATCATTGTTTGAGATTTTGACTATATTTTTGGGATCAAAGTCGCAAAATTCAGCCATACCCAGAGATGAAAATGGTAATTTTACTTAGAAGATGAACCAAAAACGTTACAAGAACCTGAAATAAGGACCAAAGTTGAAAAAGTGAGCTATCCTTGGGGACCAAAAGTGTAATTTACTCAAACTTTTAACATGTTGTTCAAATTGCAGGTTGCAATTGAAACAGCTTCTTTTTCAAAATATGCTGGATTTACAGGAGTTCGTTTAGGGTGGACTGTAGTCCCAAAAGAGCTGAAATATTCAGATGGATTTCCTGTTGCAAAAGACTTCAATCGAATTGTTTGCACTGGCTTCAATGGAGCTTCAAACATTGCTCAATCTGGTGGACTTGCATGTCTTTCTCCTCAAGGTCTTGAGGTTAGAAATATTAGTTGTAAAACAATAAGCATAATAAAAGAAAATAAATCAATATATGGAAAATGGAAAATGAATGAGTTTTATAATTGTTGTAGGCTATGCGTGAAGTGGTGGGATTCTACAAAGAAAACACACAAATTATAGTGGATACATTTACTTCACTAGGGTTTAAGGTATATGGAGGAAAAGATGCTCCATATGTGTGGGTCCACTTCCCGGGTCAAAGCTCATGGGATGTTTTCAGTGAGATTCTTGAGAAGACTCATGTGGTGACGACACCTGGCAGTGGGTTTGGGCCCGCTGGTGAAGGGTTCGTTAGGGTTAGTGCTTTTGGACACAGGAACAACGTGTTGGAAGCTTGTAGGAGGTTCAAAGAGCTTTACAAGTAAAACAAAATTAAAACCAGGTTTTGTAGTTCTAAACCTTTCAATAATTTGCTTTCATGAATCATGATTTGTATTAGATTAACTTTCGAATTTTGATATGGAAAGATTGTTGTGGTTTTATGGATATTTAGATTGCACAATTTCATACAGAAATATAATTGAAAGTACAATAGAAAAATGAAAATGCAATGTTGTTATCGAAAGAAATCAAAGTAGGATTCTTTAATAAACAAATAAATATAAGTATATTGCTATTTCTTACATTTTTAACCCTTTTCTAAAGAAAACAACACTCGAACAACAAACCACTGTTATGCACAATAAAAATTCAAAAATAAATAGCGGTTACTTTGAGGAGTCTGTGTTATAGCCGTAGCTATAGTTTGAGACTGAGCTCTGTGTGTGGCTACTTTGTGTAAGATTCGGTTTTGAAAACGGGGTAAAGTAAGTTGGCACAGGCATCTTTAAGGGCAGTTCGGGCAGCGGGGACTGAAAATTAAGAACTTGGACCACTTGCCTCATCGAAGGTCGAAAGCTACTATCGGGATGTGCACACCAAAGCCCAACAATCATCAAACATTCCATTTCCTGCTCGTTGTAATCTCTATTAAGTCTTCGGTCAGCCGCTTCTAGAACCTTCCCCTGCCCGAAAAGTTCCCAAACCCATTCCACCATTCTCGTCTTACCTTTCGCAACCTTCAACTCCATTGGTTTCCTTCCACATGCTATTTCTAGTGCCACAACTCCAAAACTGTAAACATCGGTCTCCCGGCTAGCTTGACCGGTCATTACACACTCCGGAGCCATGTAGCCCATGGTCCCGGCTATAACCGTCGTCTGCGAGCCCTTCTCATGGTCGACAAACCGGGCTAGCCCGAAGTCACCGAGCTTTGCGTTGAAACTCGAATCCAACATCACGTTACTTGATTTGATGTCTCGGTGCACCACACACTGCTCCCATCCTGCGTGCAGATAAAGTACTGCGGAGGCTAACCCTTGTGCAATTGTGTACCTCACGGGCCATGATAATAAACTTTTCCCGTGAAATAAATGAGAGTCTAGGCTACCGTTTAGCATGAACTCGTATACAAGTACTAAATCTTTGTGTTCATGGCACCATCCGATGAGTTGGACTAGGTTTCGGTGGCGCAAACGACTAATGGTTCGGACCTCCGACGCGTACTCCTTTATTCCTTGGCTTGAACCGCTTGATACTTTCTTGACTGCGATGTATGAATCCATTTCTTTGATAAACCCTCGATAAACCCCGCCGAAACCACCCTCCCCGAGCTTTTCTTGCTCCGAGAAATTGTTAGTGGCTCGGGCCAGCTCTTTGTATGAAAACTTTTTCGCTCCGATACCCTTTTCAAATTCGGTATCTAACACAAAAACGTCGTCTTCAACTTCAAATTTTTTCTTCCTTCTCCACATAAAGAACCCGAGAACCAATCCTATCAGGATAAGACTCCCGATCACCAAACCAGCAAGTACACCGGTTGGTTTAGAGCCAACCTTGGTCTTGGGCGTGGGAACAGGATTCCCAAGACCTGGACTAACTAGATCGGGATTGGGATCCATTATATCCTCACTGATACCAAGACTTGAACTAAAGTCCCATGTGAATATACTATGTATAGCGGAAGCATTCTCGGTCGCACCGGAGAATCCGAATTCAACCCACTCGGGTAAGTGGTCTCTTAGATCGACAATGTAATAAATCCGTTGAGTCAGACGGGAACCACTTCGACCGAAACCGGTGAACGCAACACTAAGGTTATGCAAACTAGAATCATACCTAATCAATGCATCATATGTTTTACCTTCTTTAACCCTACTCCGCCACGTCACATTCATTACCGAATCTATCGACCCGATATCGATCCCGACATGTTCGTTCTCCGGGTCCCACGCGTTGTGAAAAACATCGAACTCAACCGCAACAAATTGTATGTCGGTTGAGTTCAACTCTTGACCGGGATCCCTGAGCCCGAGGCTTCCCCTAGTGACATTATCAGGAACCGTGGAACTGTTTTGTGCGAGGAAAAACGTGATCCCGTCACCATACTTGGAGCTATTTAGAGAATTGATGGTGAAAGTGAACCGTGTCGAGAAGTCGGTTAGGTTTCGGGAGTTGTGGTCCCACAGGTGTAATGGTTCGGAGTACACAGCTCGACCGATGCTAGCCAATGCATGAATATCGCGTTGGTTTGTGGTGAGTTGTATCGCATTGTTTGAAGGATACGCGTCTTTTTCGTAGGTGATGTCACCGTCGTTTGGACTGAAACCGGTTTTTTTGAAGGATAAAGCGGTGGCGTAAGGTGCTGGAAGGAGGAGGAGGATGGTGGTGGTGGTGGTAATGAGGAAAATAACTATAGGGCTGCTGAAAACAGCCATAGGTGGGTGAAGGTTGAGAGGTGGTGGTGGTTTAAACTTTAAAGTATAAATCATTGGATTTGTAAGGTTTGGCATGTAACACTTGGCTAAGTCAACTCATGACCAGGACTTTGCTGGTTAAGCCGGCTGAAGCACAACTACAAAAGAAGTGTAAGACCTTTTATTATTATCATAATTTTTGTTGCTATTATAATTATCAAAATTAATAATAATTATTATTATTATGCTATTCTTTTTTTACTTATCTTGTATGGCGTCTATTACAATGTTAAATGTTCAAAAAACAGATTTCAGAAAAATGGTTTATTTGAGACACAAGTGTGGAATAAAATGATTTTATTTAGATTTACATGACTTTTCAAAACCATCAAATAAAATTTTCTTTGATAGTTTTAGAGAAAACCCTATAAAATCTCAACGTATTTTCCTCATATGCTTACAAAACCACTATGATATTTTTATAAGTATTATATATTTTTCGATTTTGGCTAAATTAATGTTTCCGTACTGGACTCTGTATCCTATACTGCTATACGGAACTAAAAAAATTATATAATATTATTAGTTTCAAAAAATATAAATGGTTATTTCAGAAAACTGCTACTATTTTGCTATTCATTAATTTCTAAAAACTATAATTGTTATTTCATGTAAGCTTTATAATTAAATCAATAATGCAATATATCATTTTAAGTCTACGTAAGCTATAACGACCAGTTTTCTTTGATTATCCTGTCCCGGAGCATTATTTTATCAAAAATCAGAAAATATAACGCTTTTAATGGACACAAAAATAACATGATGCATTTTTAATATTTTTTTTGGATTTTCCCATAATTTATAATTTATAATGGTCACAATACTCTTATTCTTTTAATATGCCAGATGATTTTTTTTTCTCTTTTTGTTGAAATATTGAAAAATTGGTCAATTCAAATACATTATATAGGTAGAAAATAAATAAAACCCATTATTTAAAAATTCGAGCAGGTATCGTTTTTTATTTTTAAACTGTTTTTTCATCAAATATAGGATGACAATTGGAAGGCCCATACATGAAATAACAACGAACCAGATTCCAAAAAGTAGATTGCTGTGAATGTTGTACTACATGCATTACCAATGGTACATCAAACTGATGACAAAGAAGAGGGTCACACTCACATGAGAAATTTTATGCATTAAAATTTCAATTATGTTTTTTCTTTTCTTTTTCCAAACCCTAAATATATCAAATATATTATTTCAATTACATATTAAAAGTTAGGTTTGAAAGGGTATCCAACTATACCCATTGTATATATTTTGTTACTTAAGCATTGTTAACCCTTAAACTTGTTTTTTTGTTTAAAACATACCATTATGACCGGTAATAGAAGGTTTTTATGGTTTTCGGTGCCTTTTCCGGCGAAGTATGGTTTTTTCGGTCATATTCTCTGGCCAAAATATATTTTCCGGCGAGATGAATTCTTGACACATTTTTTAGATTTCTTGTTTCTCTTTTTCTCTTTCTTTCTTTGCTTCTATAGAGTTCTAAGATCTGGAACATGAACATAGACAGATTTCGAGCTTCAGATTTTAAGATTCCTTTTAGATTTCAAAGCTTCATTTCATATTTTTGACAAGAACAAAAAAAAAACCCTAAATGATTTTAGAAATAAAGCTCCATTTGGAGCTTCATTTTGTTTGTTCAGATTCATATTCGATTTTGATGAAGAAGAACCCACCTACAATCATTGTTCTTCTCCCACACAAACACACATATGAAGAACCCATTGATTTAGATTCAATTTTGGGGGTTTTTAGAAAAAGAAAACCATTGATTTAGATTCGGTTTTGGGGTTTTCAATAGAAGGAAACCTTGATTTAGGGCTTTTCCGGGTTATACATATACACGATGAACACAAGAACAAGTTATGGGTTTGTTTTCCATATTTGAGTTTGTTCTTCATTTGTTCATATTCAAGTTTCGAGTGTTTTTAACTTGTGATTTATGTTATAGATGCAACTTTGATTTTTCGATTCAGTGTGTATATGGGTTTACCCACACAATGAGCACGACTGGACTCAGAAAAAGCTTGAACTTCAAAACTTGAAAAACCGTTGAAACCCTTGAATTTCAGAACTCGAAAATCTCTTGAAACCTAGGAAATCTGATATGGGTTTCGATTGATTGGACTCACAATGCACAAACGATTTTAGAAATGGAGTTGAGTTAAGATGGTGTGTGTGTTTTCAAGGAATTTGTTCTTCCATAAAAAGAACTTCGCCGAAAAATTCATGTTTGGCCGTAGAACAAGGGCGTAGCTAACATATGAGAAGGTAGGTCCTAGGACCTACCTAAAATTTGAATTTCATTTATAATATATATACCATAAAAATTAAGAACTACTTTAGAAAAAACAGAAGACCTACCTTGAGTTTGTTTTTTTTAAAATGTCTTAAAAATCATTTTAAAAAGGGCAAAAAATAAGTTATATGAGACATTTGTGCTGTTAAATATAATATATAGTTTTTATAAAACAATAAGGTAGCAATGCATTAATAATCAACTAATTTTTCATTAAATCGTTCGGTTTTTTCAATTATATTTCAGTCGGTTTTTTTTAAAATTTTAATTTGTGGTGGCTGATCGGTTTTTTCAGTTATATTTCTTTAAATCGTACACGACCCGACCCGACCCCTCAGAAGTGTTGTTGATTTTTTTATCGGCTTCACTTAGTTTGGAAACCACGTGATATTTTGTTCTAGATTCGCCACTGCCGTAGAAGGTGGTCAGAAAACCTATGTTTGCCGGAAAAGATGACGAAAACCGACAAAAACCCATTGTACCTCGTCATACTAGTATAATGTATACGTTTCAAAAAGTTCAAGGGTTAATAAAACACCAAAAATAATTTAGTGACCAAATATGACCAAAAGCTAAAATACCTTACCCTCCCAAGGCATTATCTTTAAAAGTTATTTGTTCATTTGTAAAAGTCAAATCTAAAGGTTCATTTCATATCGATTTCATTATTTTCATGTTATGAACCAATATTATGGACCAAGGACGATAGCCAGCCAACCTCATTAGCATGGACACTAAAAAGTTAAAAGTTCATTTTGAAAATTTATTAGCATAACAAATATTTACATAATCTCTTGAATGGTGCTTGTTTGCGACTAATGAAATTGTGTCTTAACAAACTAAATAGGTTGATGTTTTTTCATACTACGTCTTCGTAACACCCGGCTAAAATAAAATACATAAGATTTTTTTTTATTATCTTTTTATTATTTTTAAATATGTACTTCATACAAGCCATCATACAAGTCGTTATAATTTACATCAAAAGATAGTTATACAGGATCGAGTTCGAGCCAGGTTTGCAATTCTACAAAACATTCCAAAGTTTAGTTATCAAAAGAAACACATTATGGCTACTCCATCAAGCTCTTTCCCTTATCCATGATGCTTTTACCAGCATTCATTAAGAAATATACAAAAGTAAGCTCAAGGTTTAGTGAGTAACTTTTTCTTATATCTTTAAGATATTATAATCACAAAATCATCTTTTGTATCAAAACGACTCTTATACCCCTCGCGGGCATGATACACATTTCTCAGGTATTCTTAATCAACTCCGTTTACCGATACTATCTCATATCACAATTCAATTATCTCATTCAATCTCATCTTATATATATCATCAAGATTTCATCATATCATTTTAATGAAATTCTCATACATGATACCATCCAATCACCTCTCGTGGGTTTTCTAGTATCAATTTCTATCCTCTATCAATCATTCTCTTTCAAATCACATATATTCTTAACATAAAAATTGCAATTATAAATTCTTGGAATTTAGTTAAGCATACTAAATCAATATATGAGTAAATCAATGTTTACTCACCTTGGCCTTTATGGTTTATTTAGATGATATCCCGACCTTGGAACTTCCTTGTTCGACCATTCTTCTCGATTTCCTAATCACAATTATCTCATAAATATCATTAACAATATCAATTACACATTTCAACTCATAAACATAAATTCTCATTTGCGAAGGGATATTATTTATTCACTAAGAATAAAATCTATAAATATATCAATCCACAAATACTCATATCAGGTTTAACTTACCTGTTATATAGTTACATATATCAAAATTTATCATTCAAAGACTTAATTTATTAAGTCATATTTCTTCACTCATGAACCCTAGTCCTCATGAATCAAATTTAACATACAAGGTTCAATAACATGATATTAAACTGAAATTAAGCCACAATATATCATATAATGTCCCAATTTAATCAATTGAACTCAAACCCTTTGTTTAGGGTTTCAACCAAAATCTTCTATCTTTGCCCTAATTTCACAACAAAGGTGTTATAAATGATTATCCTTACCTTGATTCAGCAAATTGGAGTTGTATCCCTTCAATCTCTTCAAAATCGGACTTAAGAGGGTTTAGTATGTGTAAATCGCACCTTAGTATGTGTTTCTATAGAGCTGGAATCGAATTACTCTGTTCAAGGACGAAACTTATTTTATCATTTGTTGCGCCGTCACGTCGTGGCACATATTGCCACGTCGTGGGCATCTTTTGTGACGTTTTCTTTATACGACAAAGCATAATCCATCATGAATAATATTGGGCAACATACTTTCCCTACGTCGTGGCTTTTCTCCGCCACATCGTGTCATCTTCAAAGTAGGATGTTGTCACTATTTATTTGTGTAACTTGATTCTCATTCTCGACCACTTCGTGGACATCTTAGCCACATCGTGGACTCCTTGTTTCTCAATTTTTCCTTTCACTTAATGTATTACAAAGTTTTTATCAACTTCACTCATTTAAATCTTCATGTCATAAGACCTCTTTTGACTCATAAACAATAATTCTCAATTAGATGCATTACACAACATTCATACTAATCATAATGATATAATGTCTAAACTTTCATACATTAATACTAAATTTCAAGCTATTAAACATAGATTAAGTCAAATGCACAAAAACAAGTATTACAAGTTATCCCGTCCTTCAAAAGATTTCGTCCCTAAAATCTATTATCGGTTGGTTAAAGAAATATGAGTATTTTTCTTTAAACTCAGCCTGGGGTTCCCAAGTTACATCAGAACGTCTATGGTGACGCCATTGAACTTTCACCAATACGATTTCTTTATTTCTTAATTTCTTTATTTTCTAATCTAGAATCTTCTCGGGTTGCTCGGGATATCTCAATTTCTCATTACTTCAATCTCAGTTATTAGTACCATTTGTGCCTTATCAAATAAGGTTTTTCTCAAATAAGAGATATGAAAAACATTATGGATACCTTGTAATTCTTGTGGGTAAATCTAATCGATATGCAACCTTTCCGACTCTCTGTATTATATGGAAAGGTCTAATATATCGATGACTCAACTTTCCTCATTTGCCAAAACGAATCATACCTTTCCATGGTGAAACTTTCAACATCACCATGTCACCAACTTTAAATTCTAACGCTTTTCGTCTCTTGCATAATGTTGTTGACGAAGCTGAGCAACTCTCATGTGTTCCCTAATCTCCTTGATCTTAGTTTCGGTTTCTTCCACAATCTTTGGTTTCGCCAATGGTATTTCTCCAGCCTCAGTCCAACATGTTGGAGTTCTACATGGTATTCCATATAGTGCTTCGAATGGTGCCATTTGAATGCTAGAATGGTAGCTATTATTGTACGCGAATTCTACCAATGATAAGTGTTCATCCCAGTTGCCTCCAAAAACAATTATGCAAGTTCGTAACATATCTTCAAGTGTCTGGATCGTTCTCTCACTTTGCCCATCAGTTTGGGGATGATATGCGGTACTCATCAATAATTTAGAGCCCATTTGTTTCTGAAAGCTTTGCCAAAATCGGGATGTAAATCGGCTATCTCGATCAAATACAATAGAAGTTTGTACGCCATGAAAATTTACCACTTCGTTAATATAGATATCTTCAAACCGATCAATAGAAAGACTTTCTTTTATAGGTATAAATCGAGCGTATTTGGTCAAGCGATCGACCACAACCCAAATTGAGTCATGTCCTCTTGAGGTTTGTGGTAGCTTCGTAATAAAATTCATAGTGATATCGTCTTACTTTCTCACATGAATAGGTAACGATTGGACTTCTCCTCCTGGTTTTTGGTGATTTGTTTTTACTTGTAAACAAGTTAGACAATTTCCGACATATTTACCAACATCTCTTTTCATCCCGGGCCACCAATACGCCTTCTTCAAATCTCGGTACATATTTGTACTACCAGGATGTCGCGTACTATGAGCATCATCGAGTATTAACTTTCTCGCATCGCCATATTTTGGGACCCATATACGCCTCATAAATGTTGTTTACACCTTGTGAGTTCTCAGTTAATTAGTTAATATAATTAATCATATCTTCTTGTTTCAAATTCTCTGATTTCTCAACTACTTTTTGATCTTTTCTAATCAGATCTGGTAGTTGACTAACGATTCCCATTCGTACGGAGGTGATCTGAATCGGTTTCTCTTTTCGGCTTAATGTGTTGGCTACTACATTAGCTTTTCCAGGATGATAGTGAATCTCACAATCATAATCTTTAAGTAGCTTCATCCATCTTTGTTGTTGCATATTCATAACCTTTTGATCGAATAAATATTTCAAACTTTTATGATCAGTAAAAATCTGAAACTTTATTCCGTAAAGGTAGTGTCGCCAGATCTTCAAAGCAAAAACTACCGCATCAAGTTCTAAATCATGGACAAGGTATGATTGTTTAGCCGGTTTTAATTGCCTCGAAGCATAGACAATTACTCAAATTCTCTGCATTAAGACGCATCCAAGGCCGATTTGAGAAATACCAGTGTAAACAACAAAATCTTCTTCACCTCGCGGTAAGGCTAATATCGGTCTGACACAATGTTTCATTTAACCGTTGTAATACTTTTGTTAGGCATTTGTCCAATTAAACTTCTCATGTTTTCTCGTTAGTTTTGTCAATGGAGCTGCAATTGAAGTGAAATTCTCTATGAATCGTCGATAATAACCTGCTAGTCCAAGGAAGCTACGAACTTCTGATGGAGTCTTTGGAGGATCCTACTTTATTACCGCTTCGATCTTGTCAGGTCCACTTGTAACGTGACCTAGAAAAAAAATTAATGATATATTTTAAGTTAATAAATTAATTATATCAAATTAAAATTTTTAAAGATTATGAAGATTCTAAATATATATGTTCATACTTCATACAAAAAAAAATGTCTAATTTAGTTATACCATAGTATGATATGATTATTTTAGGATTTCCACCAACATTTTTATATATGATTAATCTAGAAAAATAAAAGAGAAGGAAATAAAAAAAAACTAGATAACGCCACCTCCACGCAGACCAGGCCCTCCCCACAACAGTCGCTAGAAAATTCTGCCCCCCTTTTTATATCACTTCTCTACGAAAACCCTAAACCCTTCCTTCATCTAAACCTCTGATTTCTGAACTTCACTTCATCGAATCGATCGTCTCTTTGCTTCATTGTCCGGCGTTATATGGCGACCACCGCGTTGCTAAGATCTCTTCGTCGAAGAGACATCTCTTCTGCGTCTTTATCAGCCTTCAAATCCGTATGCACTTCTCGCTTCAATTTCCTGCTTTAATCCATTTGATCTGCAATTGCTTTCTTTTGTTTCTATAATTCTGTGTGCTGTAGTCGGTTGGTTGAAGCAAAAAAATCCAGAGGCTCGACGTGAACATTCTGTTTTGGTGTTTCTGAATCATGCGTCTCTTTTTCTATCGTATTTGTTTTATCCACGTCTTATATGGTCGAGCTATTTGTTTATTGGATATATTTTGTTATTCAAACTTTTTACTTTGTATATAAAATTGTGATCTTCGTGCTGTTTGTGCTTTCTTTTGATCTAATTACATCTTGTGAGGATCTTTGCATGTGTATTATCTATTGAGGCAAAATACATGTTTATTCTGTTTTCTTAAATCATTGATCTAATTCATTTGGATGACATTTTTGGCTTATGAGATGAGCTTTTGGACGACACATCTTTGTTTAGATTATTGAATGTAAAGAATCAAACATTGTGTAGAAAGTTATTTTGGTGTCTTCTATATTTGAATTTCGTGTAAAGTTTAATTTTTTTGTCGCTAGCTAGATAAAGAAAGATCTCTTAAGCAATACTTGTTTTTTTGCCAATCGACCCATAAGAGACTATTAATTTAATGTAATCTATATTAATGCTTGTGCAGTTAGGTGGAGCCAAACAATCATGGGTTGGGTCACATTTGAGTCACAAGATGGGGATACTTTCCAGACCTTTCAGGTAACTAGGTTCTCCCTGTTACTAATTCTGCTTTTTATTTTCAAATTCATTCTAGCTAATCTTTATGCCTGATGCAGCTCAAGACCTCTAGGAAATGAAGTTATTGGGATTGATTTGGGTACTACAAACTCATGTGTTGCAGTTATGGAAGGAAAGGTAAGATCCATAATACTTCATCTTTTCAAATCCCATTCATAGTTGTGCTAAAAGATAAAACTCTGATTGTTGTTTCCTTTTTATGTAGTCTGCAAAAGTCATTGAAAATTCTGAAGGCTCACGAACAACTCCATCAGTTGTAGCATTCAATCAAAAAGGCGAGCTAATTGTAGGCACTCCAGCCAAACGTCAAGCAGTAACAAACCCAACCAACACTGTATTTGGTACAAAAAGATTAATAGGAAGAAGATTTGATGACCCTCAAACACAAAAGGAAATGGGAATGGTTCCTTACAAGATTGTCAAGGCTCCAAATGGAGATGCTTGGGTTGAAGCCAGTGGACAAAAATACTCTCCAAGCCAAATCGGTGCATTTGTTCTCACTAAAATGAAGGAAACAGCTGAAGCGTATCTTGGAAAGACAATCAATAAAGCTGTTATTACTGTTCCAGCTTATTTCAATGATGCCCAAAGACAAGCAACTAAAGATGCTGGAAGAATTGCTGGACTTGATGTGGAAAGAATCATCAATGAGCCAACAGCTGCTGCTCTTTCTTATGGATTGAATAACAAAGAGGGTCTTATTGCTGTGTTTGATCTTGGTGGTGGTACCTTTGATGTTTCCATTTTGGAGATTTCAAATGGTGTCTTTGAGGTTTGCAATTTTACAACAATACCCTTTTGTTATTCTCTAGTAAATCAATGTGCCAGTTCCCATACTTTCTTTTTGAATAAATTATGTTTTTGGTTCCTGAGTTTGTTAAAAAAATTCACTTTTGGCCACATATAGTTTCTTCTTGCAACAACTGAAAATGGGCAATGAAATTGCAAGAGTAAACTATTTGGGATCAAAAAGGCAGTTTTTGAACAAGCTCAGGGACAAAAATTGAAACTTATTTTTCTTCCATACAGGTTAAAGCAACGAATGGGGATACATTCCTTGGAGGAGAGGACTTTGATAACACAATGCTGGAGTTTCTTGTGAGTGAATTCAAAAGAACAGAAGGAATTGACCTGTCAAAAGACCGTCTTGCCCTTCAAAGACTAAGGGAAGCAGCTGAGAAAGCCAAGATTGAGCTCTCTTCCACAACCCAAACAGACATCAACCTTCCCTTCATCACAGCTGATGCATCTGGTGCGAAACATTTGAATATCACACTGACAAGATCAAAATTTGAAGCTTTGGTTAACCATTTGATTGAAAGAACAAGGAATCCATGTAAAAACTGTGTGAAGGATGCTGGAATCACAACAAAAGAGGTTGATGAAGTTCTTCTGGTGGGTGGAATGACACGTGTCCCTAAGGTTCAGGAGGTTGTTACTGAAATCTTTGGGAAGACTCCAAGTAAAGGAGTGAATCCTGATGAAGCAGTTGCCATGGGAGCAGCAATTCAAGGTGGAATTCTGAGAGGTGATGTGAAAGAGTTGCTTCTTCTTGATGTCACTCCTCTTTCTCTTGGTATTGAAACACTTGGTGGGATTTTCACTAAACTCATTGGTAGAAACACCACAATTCCAACAAAGAAAAGTCAGGTAAATTCATCATATCATTTCTCTGAGAGTGTGTTTTGTTGGTGGATTCCGATTCCGATGGAATCCGTCGGAATTGGAATTCAAGATTCCATTCCTGGCATGTTCTGGATTTCTCACACCATTTGTATAAATGGGTAGAAGGAATTTTAATTTCATTCTTCCTTTATTATTAAAAGACAAAAAATACCCTTCTTCTATATTAAGAAAAGCAAGACCAAAATATCCTTTTTATGTATTAAGAAAAGTTATTTTTTTACAAGTATATTATAAAAATTCTTTGATTTTTATTATTAAAGTCACTCCATTCCGTTTCCAGCTAACCAAACATGTGATAAGGAGCGTTTGGTTTGGAAGGAATTAAAAGACCAAAGTACCCTTGTAATCAATCTTTATACGTAACAATTTCTTTAAGTATATAGAACACGGGTATTTTGGTCTTTTAATTAAAAAGAATGGAATTGAGTTCCTTCCACCTATCCATGGAACAAGGGTATTTAGCAAACACACCACTTGGAAGGAGTTAAAAGACCAAAATACCCTTGTAGTCGGATCTTTATACGTAATTATTTGTTTAAACATATAGAACAGGGGTATTTTGGTCTTTTAATAAAAAAGAACGGAATCAAGTTCCTTCCACCTATCTATCAAGCAAGTGAAACCAAACACACCATGAAACGACGGAACGGAATCTCGAATTCCGGTTCCGTCGGAATCCACTTTCCCTAATTCCAATTCCGCTGACGAATTCCATACCGGTTGTATCGACAGGTGTTCTCCACAGCAGCAGACAACCAAACCCAAGTGGGAATCAAAGTCCTCCAAGGAGAACGTGAAATGGCATCCGACAACAAACTTTTAGGGGAATTTGAGCTCATGGGAATCCCTCCGGCCCCACGTGGAATGCCACAAGTCGAAGTCACATTCGACATCGATGCCAATGGCATAGTCACAGTCTCAGCCAAAGACAAATCCACCGGAAAAGAACAACAAATTACCATTAGGTCCTCGGGTGGTCTTTCCGATTCCGAGATTGAAAAAATGGTCAAAGATGCCGAACTCCATGCCCAAAAGGATGCCGAAAGGAAAACACTCATTGATGCCAAGAACAATGCGGATACAACTATTTATAGTGTCGAGAAGAATTTGAATGAGTATAAGGAGAAGCTTCCGGCGGATGTGGTGGCGGAGATCGAGGCGGCGGTGGCGGATCTCAGGAAGGCGGCTGGTGGTGAAGATGCGGCGGAGATTCAGGCCAAGATTGATGCGGCGAATAAGGCGCAGTCGAAGATCGGTCAGCATATGCAAGGTGGGGGTAGCGGCGGTGGTGGTGGTGATTCGGGGTCGCAGGGTGGTGGTAGTGGTGGTCAGGCGCCGGAGGCGGAATATGAGGAGGTAAAGAAGTAGAGGGGATAAATTGTTATTAGATGTTTTTTTGTAACTAAAAACTTAAGGTGAGTGGGTTGTGGTAGAAATAATCATGGAAATGTTTAACGCTTTTTTGATGTAGTTGTATTGGTGTCATTGAATGGCATCCATCACGCAAGCAAAAAAAAGTTAATATCGTTTTAATTTGTTTATTTATCTGAAATGGCAAAATTGTCTTTTCCTGTATTAAGATAGCTTGATTAGATATGCTTCGACTCTTGAATTATCCTTGGGGAACTATGAAAAACAAAGTACAAACTAATAAGGGTAATCCTAATCCATGGAGCATATTACTCAATGTAGTTTGTAAAAAGGCCGAGAGTGTTTGGCTAAACTTTTATTTAAAGAGCTTTTTAATCTACTATCAGTTTCAGACTGGTATAAAGCTAAAATTAGTGTTCGGATATAGATTTTTTCAAAAATCGCTTGTTTCCATAAGTTTTTTCTCACTAACTTATCAAAAGTTTCCAAACAATTCTTTTAAAATCTCCGTTTTGGCACTACTATAAATTGATATAATTTCGAACAATAAAAAGAAAAGATTGATTGCATACCCAAACAAGTTGAACCTTTAAAGTCGTCCAGTATGCTTATAGGCAAGAAGCCTGGAGAACTTCCAGGTCAACAAGCGACACTACCACACACTACCACTGCGGTTGTCGTTGTACTCCCAACGAAGAAGAGAGATAGGTTGCCGATTGCATGACCATGGAGGTGGGGATAGTGTGCATGGTCATGGCCACCTGACCACAAACAATTACAAACAAACGTTGTGTATGGTATACCCGATGTCCTAAGAAGAGCAAATGTATGGTTCTGAGTTCTAACCATTATGCCACACTTAAAATTACGGGAATTATGTTATAGATCATTTGGTATACATACCACTATCATAAATATGTTGGAATGTTATACCACTTGTCACCTCATCACCATATAAATTCCATATTAGTTTGGTATACCCACACTTCACATCATCTTTTTTAACTAAAATTAAATGAATATGCTAGATTTTTAATTAAAATAAAAACATTAATATGCATAAATTTAAAAAACACCAAAAATTAAGCAAATAAAATAAAAACAAACATATACAAGAAATATCGAACATTCAAATATTTTTAAAATTACATTAAATAAAAGTTCTAAAAAAAAACACAATTTAAAGATAAAATTACTCGTGGACGTTCATGCTGTTTTTCATGCGATCTCCATTAACAATGTTTTGAACATTAAAGAATGTTGCGATAAACTCATCGTCATTTGAATCATAATTTTTTTAAAAAGTAATATTTGTTGTGTTAAAAAGTATAAAAGAGAGTGATGTTTATATGTGAAAGTGGAGTGATATATAGAGGAATATGGATTTTTTTGAATTTGATTTTTTAAGAAAAATGATCGTTGCTTCCTTCTCATTGGGTGTTCAAAAATACGGTGATATCACACCACGACCGTCGCGATGCAACCAAGGTGGTATGCACGATCGTGGTTGTAACACTCAGATTCGGGTATGTTATCTTTAGTCATTGGATCATTGTTTATTTTGCAAAAGAGGTCCTCCGTACGCTGGGCGTACATATATGTACGCTTAGCGTACATGGGTGGAGGGATTGCAAACTTGAACCATGTACGCGGGGCGTACGAAGATGTACGCGGGGCATACGTGGCCAAAAGAAAAACCCTAATTTTTCGGACATGAGCCTTATTTAAGCTCATTTATGACCTTTGGGCCTTCTCCATTATCAGCCTCCATACCTCTAAATGTTCCTAAAACCCTAGTTTGCTTTGGAGTGTGATCTTTGAGCTTGAAAGTGACCTTGTGGTCCTTTTTGGTGTGTTTGCAAGAAGAAGAACTTGGTGTGCAAGCCTTGGACGTGGTTGAGCTTCAAGATCCTCCATCTACATCATCTTAGGAGACTTTTGGAGGTAAAAAGCTCCTACATTGTTAATCCTTTTGATACTTAGAGTTAGGGTTTGTTCATAAGCTCGTTTTTGGTCCATAGATTCTCTTTTGTGCATTTGAGCAACTCCAGAAGCTTGTAATGCTAGATCTTAGTCCCTTTGGTGTGTTAGAGGCATAAAAATGCTATCTTGATGGTTGTTATGGCACCATGCATGAGTATAGGTCCTTAAAGTAAGTTTTAATGGACAAAATGAGATGTTGGGCTCCCATAAGGCATGCAAAGGCATAAAGTTGCCAACTTTATGCCCTAGGACCCCTTAAATGACCAAGATCTGGAAGTTGGCGAAGTGACTGCATGGATTAAGCACTTAATGGCTAAATATGCTTAACAGCTTAGTACGCTGGGCGTACTAAGATGTATGCGCATAATACTGCCTGAAGATCGAGTACGCTAAGCATACTGATGATCACGTTGCGCGTACGCCCAATGGGCTGTTGGACAAGTATTGGACTCTTGGGACTTCTGGGCCTTAACTAGTATTGGGCCTTGGCCTTTTTAGGATAGGTGGGCCCAATTTTTTATTGTAGGCCTTGCGTGACATGTTTTGGGCCTTTTGGGCCATGGAGCCCGTTATTGTGGATGGGTCGAATATGGTTAGGCTCATTATGGGATGGGCGAAATGAGACATATTCTAGGAGTTGGACTTAGGGTTTTGGCCCATGTCTTAAGTCTGTGACCTAATTCTAATTAGGGTAATTGTGTATATTTAAGGTGAGATTGTCGGATCGATAGCCGAGCAGTCAATATTTACCAACAGACCGAGGTGAGTCTTCTCACTATATCAATGGGTTGAAGGCACCAATGTCGGCCCATTACTTGACATGCAGAATGATAGTTGTCAATGTGTTGTTTGACTGAAAGACCTTGGGGGTAGCCCGTGACACATGTATGGAAGACCATGGGGGTAACCCATGACATGGAAGACCAGGGCTGTCCCTAAGGGTGTGCAAAGTGTGCAGCCGCACAGGGCCCCGAAAAAAATAGGGTCCGAATTTTAGCAAAAATTTAGTTAGCTCAGCCGGCCAAAGCGCTCGTCTATGCGCTTCCTTTGCTGTTTTGGCGTTGGTTCGATCCCCACGAATCTCAATTTTACATATTTTTTAAGTACTTCTATGGAAGTTACATTCTCGGCCCTTCAAATTTAATAATTATTTTCGTTTAGTAAATCAATTTCAATTACAAATTTAACCTTTCTAACATTGATAAATTTACATTTGTTTCCATTTAATCAGTTTAATAATTATTTTGTTTTTCCTCATGTAATTCATCACCCCGTTAGATTTATTTTACTTATATATATATATATATATATATATATATATATATATATATATATATTGGCCCATATTTTATTATTCGCACAAGGCCTTCAAAATTAAATGACCGACCCTGATAAAAACCATGGGGTAGCCCATGGCACTTGGATTTCATACCATGGTGGTAGCCTATGGCATTATAGGGAAAAGATCATGGGGGTAACCCATGTCAATCATATGTGTTTTGTGTGGTATTTTGAGATTGTATGTTATGTGATATTTGGGAAACTTACTAGGCTTTTGCTTACAGTTTGTATTGAGGTTTCAGGTACTAAAGGGACGGACCCGACTTGATGGCGCAACATTCATTCCCCATTGTTTTCCGCACTTACTGATATTGTTACTCTAATAATTAATTATGTTTATTCTGTAATGGTTTTTGGAAACAATTTATGACTGTAATCTCCTATTTGAAAATGAAAAATTTTATCTGGTTTTTGGGCTGTTACAATGGTGAAATGTCATTGTGGGTCGTGACCATGAACCCCATCCGCGATTTGTATTCCTAAAGGCGTAAGGAAGTAAAAACATTTGTTTTCATGTAAAAGATTATATAAAATGGCAAGGAACCTTCGTACCAAGGCTTATATGTAAGCAAATTTTCATTATTTTTTGTTTATGTTAACTTTATGAAAATAGTAATATTTTTTGGAGTTTTGAGTTAACTGACCATTCATGTTACAAAAACATCACCATTTGGCCATCTAAGTTCAAAACGTGTTAGTTAAGCCCTTAAATTGTCATTTGTTTTTCTATTTAACCATTGACACATAGTATAACAAGTTTAGGTGTTGTTTGATTTTCTGAAGCAAAAATTCATGAAGTCTGCGGACCATCTCTGCAACCCTCTGCAGTAGAAGAGGTGGACCAAACGGCTGCAGACTGTAATAAGAAGCGTGTTTGTTTTTTTAACATCTGATACTGCTGCAGATATTAAAAAATTAAAATAAACTAATTTTATAAACCGAAGAAAGTTTTTTAATACGTAAAATTTAATAATGTATAAAATTTCGGCAAGAATTAATGATATTTCAGTAAAAAAAATGATATTTCAACAAAAAAATAAAGATATTTTAGTAAAAAATAATGATATTTCATCAAGAAATTATCATTATTGAATATAAAAAAAACGAAAAAAATATTCAACAATAATAAACAAAAAAAACGAAAAAAAAGGTGAAATAAAATTTCAACAACATGTAATCAAAATTTCAGTAAGAAAAGAAGAAGAAGAAGAAGAGGTTGGAAGAGGCAGTACACGTGTTGCGCCAAACAGAGCACGCACAAAGGTTTTTGACTCTGAAAACTTATAAAAAACAAACAACTGCGAGATAAAAAGTCTTGCGCTTGTGCTGCGCCACGCAACAATAAGAGGTGTGAAGAGATTTTTTCCAAAAAACAAACAGCACCTTAGTATGTTACAAGCTTATGTAGCGTGCCCCGTAGCATTTTTACCCACCTTTTATCCATGAGGTGCTAAAATGGCGTTAACGTGAATTTTTAGATTTTTTTTTAATTCTCTACTATCTAGGGGTACTTCTCTCTTGGCATAATTCTTCTTGCATTCCTTATTCAATCTTCTTTGGTTGGACGTGAGCTTCCTATGATCAAATCATTGTAAAAAGATTAATGAAAATCGTTTTAAGCAAAATATAACGGTAATGAATGAAAGAACAGAAAATGTTAAGGTTGTTGAGGCATGTGTTGAACGCAATATCATTAAAACAAATTTGTTCGCTATGGTGTTTGTTTTCCATGATACAATAGCTTGGATCAATTCTTCTAGATCGCTCAAACCGAGACTAGGCTGTAGTGAACCTATTGAGTTTTTATTCAAAAATTAGTTTTAAAAATTCAAGATTAACAACTTAAGCATTTTAACTTTGA